TGAGGCGGATCGTCTTGCGAAGGCAGAGATGGCGATGGATATTTTGACTCTAAATCTTGGAGATCACGTCCTGAGGAAGCTAGATGCGTGTCAGTGCACAACCACTGCATCAGTATGGTCAACTCTGGAAAGGTTGTATCTCTCCAAAACTCTTCCTAATCGAATTCATCTACAGCATAGATTCTATACGTTAAAGATGGTAGAATCTAAGACTATAGATCAGAACATAGATGATTTCTTGAAATTAGTTGCGGATCTAGGTAATGTGAACGTTTCTGTTTCTGATGAAGTGCAGGCAATCATGCTGCTGAGCTCCTTACCATCTCAGGACAATCAGCTCAAAGAAACACTGAAGTACGGACGAGATACTTTGTCTTTAGAAGAAGTTAAAAATTCCGCGAAGTCAAAGGAGATAGAGTTGCTGGAGTCCAAGACCTCTAGCACGTCACAAGGAGCAGGCGAAGCACATATGGCACAAGGGAGGTCAGAGAAACGTGAAGGATTCAACAGAAGGAACAGAAATAAATCTCGATCTAGATCCAGCTCCAGAGTTACTTGCTGGTACTGCAAGAAGGAGGGACACATCAAGAAAGATTGCTATGCTCGAAAGAGGAAGATGAAGACTGAATCAGGAGAAGCAGCTGTAATGGTAGATAAACTGCAAGAGATAGATGCCTTGTCTATCTCTGACCAATCACCAAAGGATCAATGGGTGATCGATTCAGGGTGCTCCTACCATATGACGTCAAGACGAGATTGGTTTGAGGAGATAACTGAGAGTGTTGGTGGTTAAGTGCTGTTAGCTGATGATCGAGCAGTCGCGGTACAAGGGATAGGCACAGTCAAAATCAACACTACTGGAGGAAACATCAAGCGGCTGATTAATGTCAGGTATGTCCCGAATCTTAAAAGAAATTTGATTTCAGTATCTACTCTTGACTTGCAGGGATTTAAGCAAGAAGGTGGAGGAGGCAAGGTCAAGTTCTACAAGGATGGAAAACTGGGTCTTCAAGGGACATTAAAGGGAAGTCTGTACTTACTTGATGGAGTCACAGTCACTGGAGAATCAAATGCAGCTGTTGAGAAAGACGAAACAGCCTTATGGCACGGTCGTCTGGATCACACCAGTATGAAGAACCTGAAGGCGTTAGTTGAGAAGGGAGTTCTTGATAAGAAGAAAATTACCGAAATGGAGTTCTGTGAGAACTATGTTATGGGCAAGAGTAAAAGACTGAGTTTCAGTGTAGGGAAACATAACACTGAGGAGGTCTTAAAGTATGTCCATTCAGATCTCTGGGGGTCTCCGAACGTTCAACTATCACTCTCGAAGAAGCAGTATTTTCTATCAGTGATCGATGACCATTCAAGAAAAGTCTGGGTTTATTTTTTAGGGACAAAGGATGAAGCGTTCAGCAAGTTATGTGAATGGAAAATTCTGGTTGAAAATCAGTCAAGTAAGAATGTGAAATGTCTAAGAACAGACAACGGCTTAGAGTTCTGCAACTCAGCCTTTGATAATTTTTGCAAGGAGCATGAGATAGAAAGACATAGGACCTGTTCATACACTCCACAGCCAAATGGAGTTGCTGAACGTATGAACAGGACTATTATGGAGAAGGTGCGGTGACTTCTAAATGAGTCAGGGCTTGAAGAAAAGTTTTGGGCAGAAGCGGTAGCTACTTCTGTGTATGTCATCAATAGGAATCCGTCATCTGCAAATGATTTCAACATTCCTAAGGAAATTTGGCTGGGAAGAGTTCCAGGGTATCGACACTTAAGGAAATTTGGTTCGGTGGTATACATTCATGTGGATCAAGGGAAGCTGAAGCCTAGAACCCTAAAAGGGGTCTTCATTGGATATCCAACTGGCGTGAAGGGATATAAAGTTTGGCTCATAGATGAAAGAAGTGTGTGATCAGTAGAAATGCTGTGTTCACCGAGAACGTGATGTATAAGGACTTAATGAAGAACATTAAATCAAATGAGTCACCTGGGAATAACGAAGCTACTGGAAAGAACCAGGTTCTTATTAGATTTACAGAGGATTCTGTAGGTTCTAGTACTACTGACGAAGAGAATCTAGAACAAGGTGGAGTCATCGAAGCTCAGTCAGATGATGTAGAAGACTCTAGAAGTGAACAAGTGGATCTGACTAACTACCAACTTGCCAGAGATCGTGAACGTTGAGTTATTGTTAAACCAGCAAGGTTCAATGATGACAGTGAAGTTCCTTTTGCTCTCTCCGTAGCTGAAGAAATAGAGTCAGAGGAACCGAGAGACTATTTTGAAGCTCAGGAAAGTAAAAACTGGGATAAATGGAAGGAGGCCTGTGATGAAGAGATGAGATCGCTGAGTAAGAACAAGACGTGGACTCTCAGTGATCTTCCAGAAGGTCAAAAGTTGATAGGGTGCAAATGGGTGTTCAAGTTGAAGCCTGGAATACCTGGTGTTGAGAAGCGTAGGTACAAGGCTAGACTGGTAGCCAAAGGTTATTCTCAGAGAGAGGGTATAGACTACCAGGAAATTTTCTCACCAGTTGTGAAGCATGTCTCTATAAGGCTGATGTTGTCTATTGTTGTCGACCTGGACTTAGAACTAGAGCAACTAGACGTAAAACAGCTTTTCTGCATGGAAGCATAGAGGAAGACATCTATATGGAACAACCAATTGGGTATGAAGTAAAGGGAAAGAATAATAAGGTGTGTCATCTTCAAAAGTCCTTGTATGGACTGAAACTAGCCCCCAGACAGTGGAACAAATGCTTTGATCAATTCATGATCAAGCATGGGTTCGTCAAAAGTGATTTCGATATGTGCATATACATTAAAATGCTGGAGAATGAGGTATATGTCTACTTACTCTTATACGTTGATGACATGCTGGTTGTGTCTAAGAGTATGGTCGAAATAGAAAAGGTTAAGAGACTTTTGAATACTGAGTTTGAAATGAAAGACTTAGGAGCAGCTAAGCGAATCTTGGGGATGAATATAGTAAGAGATAGAAAAGGTGGAGTCCTTACTTTATCTCAGTCAAACTACATCAGGAAAGTCCTTCAAGTGTTCAGGATGGATGAAGCAAAGTCAGTCATTACTCCTATAGGATCACACTTTAAACTAGCAGCTCTAAAGGATGGTGAAGAAAGCTCTGGTGAGGTACCTTATTGCAATGCGGTTGGAAGTATCATGTATGCCATGATAGGAACAAGGCCAGATGTTGCTTTTGCTATAGGGTTGGTAAGTCGTTTTATGAGTAATCCTGGTAAAGTACATTGGACGGCAGTTCAGTGGATACTGAAGTATTTGAAAGGGTCTCAGGATAAGGGTCTAGTGTTTAAGAAAGGCACAGGAGATATGAAGATTGTTGGTTACTCAGATTCAGATTTCGCAGGTGATTTGGACAAAAGAAGATCTACTTCTGGTTACGTGTTTACTGCAGGAGGAAACACCGTGAGTTGGAAATTAAGTCTTCAGCATATTGTTGCGTTGTCGACTACCGAGGCAGAGTATATAGCTTTGACAGAGGCCATAAAGGAAGGAATATGGCTTCGGGGTTTGGCAGAAGAGTTAGGTTTTAAGCAAGACATCGTGAATGTTCACTGTGACTCGCAGAGTGCAATTTGTCTTGCCAAAAACAATGTTTTTCATGAGCGGACCAAGCACATGGCTGTGAAGATGAATTTTGTCAGAGATACAGTGGAACAAAGAGAAGTAGTAGTAGAGAAGATTCATACTTCGAAGAATCCAGCTGACATTCTTACGAAGGTGATACCAGTACAAAAGTTTGAGCAGGCTTTAGCTATGCTCAGAGTAGCCAGGTGCTGAGAGAATGGCTACGCTTGACGTCATAAGATACAGACATAAAACTGTGTTGATATCAAGGTGGAGATTGTTGGAAAAGATATGATATCATCATAGGTTTAATTAAGTGTATACCGGTTTGGTTATATGCCTAATTGATTCAGGAGTTAATTGGTGATAACCAAGTTGGTTGTTGAGCTGGTTAGCTTAAGGTGAGTCGGTTCTTCTCTATCTAGATGAGAGGATAAGGTTAGTCTGTTAGTTAGATCTGGATAACATTGAGAGAGTGAGAGTCGAGAGCTGGAGAGATCTGAGAGGTGTTCTTGAGTCTTTGTTGTATCGTCTTCTCGGGAAAACTCTCTGTACAAGTTGTTATCTAGTGGAATCATTTGCTTGTGCCGTCAAGCTCTAGGGACATAGCTTCCGATTTGGAAGTGAACCCTGGGTAAACAAATCTTGTGTGTGATTCATATTCTTTCTGCGATCTTCTTCATTCTACTTTCTTTAGTGCGTATCAATTAGATAAGTGAGCAAATCGAAGGTCAAGGATTTGAGCACGATATACTACACACTTACTATGTACTAGGAGCTTCTCTTCCACTTGTTTGTCTCCGCTTTCTCTTCTTTATTTTTCTCCTTAATCTTCTCTGCCCAATTGACAAATCGAAAAAGGATGTGATACGTGATCCAAAATCTTGATATGGGATCGACCCATTTTAATGCTAGGCGGATTCAACTTGTTAAAACTATTCAACCATTTCATCGGCAAATATTTTTTAAATCAGAGTTAAACTTGTCAAGTGATCAAAGTGTATGAGAGAAACACAAGCTGAAAATGATATGATCCATCAAATTGTTTGGACATTTTTAATGTGGCTATGTCCAAACATTGATAGATATGGACTTATGGTTAAAGAGAGAATAAAAAACCAAAACAAATGTTTAGTGGCACACGATTCACCTAAACTAAATTATGTGATGCTATTAATCAGCTTAAATCGAATTACACACGACACAAACTGAGTTGCTTAAGTTAAGGTGCACATGTTTAAGGTAATTCATCCTACAGTCTTAAATTTAGCCTAAACATTATTTTATTTTTCAGAAATAATATTATACATAATGATTTTTATTTGATTGTATTTTCCAAAATTCTCTTAATGTATATTCTGTGTATTCCATTTTCGACTCTAGGGAGTGGACTACTCTCCCCTCTCTACCCTAAAACACATTCACCCACTTCCTCTGCATAAACCTCTCTCTCTCTTTTCCTCTCTTCTCTCTTCTCTCTCTCTCCACTGAAAATCGCAGCTCTGGAGACATAACTTCCTCAGAAACCTCCCTACTTGATGACTTTTGCTTCTTGAGTTTTCACTTTATTGTCCGAACGCTCTGAAACTTTTGAGCCCCCATTAACGATAAAGAGACTACTAAAAACACACAAAAAACAAAACAAAAAATCAAACCCATGGAAGATAATCTCGCTTGTGGAGAAACCAGCGATTCATGGATCATTGACAACGACGATGAAATCAACTGTGGCGGCGGATTTATGAGCGATAACCATGAACTTTTTAGTAAAGACGATAACTTTGACGGCAACGGATCAATTCCGATGATGGGTGGTTCCCCATCGTCGTCGAGAGAAGACAGAATCAAAGAGATGTTGGAGAGAGAGATTGAGTTTTTGCCCGGAACTGGCTATCTCAAGAGATTGCGTTCTGTGGATTCGGAGTTGCGTGTTAGAAACCAAGCTCTGGATTGGATTTTGAAGGTTTGAGATTTTTTTTCTTTTGATTATATATCAAAAATCTCAAATCTGGTTTGGTCTCTTTTTGTTTTTTGTTTTGATTGATTTTGAGTTTCTTCTCTTGGCCAGTTGATAGATCATTCATATTGGGGTTTTAAAAGAGGCTCCTGATTATTATTATTATCCTCAGATGTATTGAAATGGAAAAAACTCAGTTTTGAGATCAGTTGGATCTTCTTAATAGATTGATGTTTTGATCTATTTGAGTAACTGATGTTCTGTCTTTAATGCCAAATTGTTTATTGTCTGAAACAGGTTTGTGCTCATTACAATTTTGGACCTTTATGCATATATCTATCCATGAACTACTTGGATCGGTTCTTATCATCCTATGAATTGCCAGTAAGTTGATTCATCTTCTTGTCTCTGTTTGGTTCTTCGAATATCCGAGACAATTTTCACTAAATCGTGTATGTATGTGTGTGTTTTGATTGCATAGAAAGACAAGGCTTGGGCTGTGCAGTTGCTAGCTGTCTCTTGCTTATCATTAGCAGCTAAAATGGAAGAATCAGATGTGCCTCAAACTCTTGATTTACAGGTGCAACACACATTTAGTCCTTAAACAAGCACAATCTTACGAACACAATCGAAATATCCGAAGTTTTGCTAATGGTTGTGATGAGCAGGTGGGAGATCCCAGCTTTGTTTTCGAGGCCAAAACAATAAAAAGGATGGAACTTTTGGTACTCAACACATTGAAATGGAGATTGCAAGCTCTAACTCCATTCTCCTTCATTGATTATTTCATTTACAAGATCAGCGGTCACGTATCAGAGAAGACGATCTATAGATCGTCACAATTCATCTTGAACACCACTAAAGGTGCGTCTTTTATTGATCGAAAGCAAGCTCTATAATGTTCTTTCCTTGTTACTTGCTCTCTATTTTGAGGAAGGCTTTGATGTGGTTTTTTATGTTTGAAAAAAAATTGAATGCAGCAATTGAATTCTTAGACTTCAGGCCTTCTGAGATAGCTGCAGCAGCGGCAGTGTCTGTTTCCATTTCAGGAGAAATAAAGTGCATTGATGACGAAAAGGCCATGTCTAATCTCACATATGTTAAGCAGGTAAAACCCATCTAATATTATTAGCAAAAGAAGCAAACTTTCACATTAACATTTGGTATGAAAGCGCATAAACCAAATTGCTGTTTCAAGAACACACATTTGATCAAGAACGCATATTTGATCAAAGCGTTGGAATTTGATCAGTGGATCATTGTTCTTCTTTAAGCAGGAGAGAGTGGAGAGATGTTTGAATCTGATGAGAAATCTCACTGAGGAGAGTGTGCCGGGAACTAGATTATCACCGGAGCAGCCGCGATTAGTGGCAAGAGTGGTACCGGAGAGTCCTGTTGGAGTGTTGGAAGCAACATGTTTGAGCTATAAGAGTGAGGAGAGAACAGTTGAGTCATGTACAAATTCCTCACAGAGTAGTCCAGACAACAACAACAACACTAGCAACAAGAGGAGGAGAAAACAATGAGAGAGAGAGAAAAAAAAGAGTCATCATACGTTGCTTTTTCAACTTCAATCCATAAGGGTCATGAACATTTGAGGTTCTTTTTTTTAAGTTTTGGTTTATTCCTTGTTTTACATAAATATTCTTTTTTCTTTCTTTGATTTCTCATCTTCAATCAGAAAATTGGATTGAAAATGAGAGTTTTGTGAGAGAGAAAAAAGAAAAAAAAAAACAAATAAAGAGGGGTCTTTTGAAGGCGGCAAAATTAATAAGTCATTATTGAAGATGATGAGAGACATATCCCTAGGTTCATGTTCTTGCTCCAAGGAACTTCTTTTGTTTTTGTTTTCGCTACATAAAATCAGAGATATAAGAAAATAAGAAGTAGAAAGATAATCCATTTTCTTTATGATTTTGTTTATGGTATTCAAATGTGACCTTGAATTTAAATTTCACAATTACAAAATCTTGTCTGCCACCTTATTCACCTGGTTGCTACTCAAAAACAAGAAGTATATATAGTGTATACTTCTCCTTGAAAGAAATGGTACTATTTACCTGGTTGATACTCAAACTGGCTAATATTCACATAGAACCAAAAAAAAAAAATCAGAATGTTAATGTTTTATTTTTTCTGGTTTGAAGAAATAATATAATTGGTTTGAAGGAGAAATGCATGTTTTGGGGATTGGGGAAGGGAAAGCCATAATGGGCCCTGAAAAGAGGACTTAGTGGGCCCACTTCTTTTTGTTTTGACTATGCGACCGGTCAACATCTCTCTCTCCTCGTGTTCAGAAACTCGAATAATAATCTCTGAGCATAAGAAACCTTGGGAATCTACTGCTTCTCTTCTGTTACTTTATTATATTTTTTTACTACCTTTCTTTTGTTCTTTCCTTTTTCACATATTCGCCTAAGCTATATATTAATATATTATATATATATTCTTTGCAGCTTAATATTAAATAGGTTAACGTGATGACCACCAATTACGTACGTCTTCCAAGTACATATATAACGAAATGTTTAGTACGTAGTAGATTCTAATTTCCAATATTTTGATTTAAGTAGTGATTGGCTTTATTTGAACTGGTAATGATCATAATATGATTTTAACAAATGAAGATAAATCTGATTTATTTTCTATTAACATTTTGAATCTTAGATCGAGATGAGCATCTTCTTGGGTGTTTCAAAGTATATATATGCATGTTTGTATGTAAAATTTAATTTCTTCACTTACTTCCATTAGGACAACTTTGAGGCTATATTATACTACTGTATTAGAAATGTTAATTATTTTATTTTCCTGACATTTTGGCTAGTAGCTCCATTTTCTTCCACTTGTTGCTCGTACATTACAGGTCGATTCTTACCAAATGGTTACATAGAGTTAATGAAATCAATAAACTAGTAATAACTTTGATGTTTCCAAAAAAATAGTAATAACAAGTCTCGCGAGATTAGTAAAAAATTTACTCCACCAACTTGAATTTTTCTACTAATATTTTAGCTAAATGTTTTGATTATATGAACATGGTTTTTAGAAAACCATAATTTGTGGGTCAGTTTTAATGTTTCAGTTTCAGTAGTCAAGATCAAAGAAAGTGATCAAACAACACCTTAAACAATACTAACATGACACGATATTCATTTAGCGATAATGAGTAGCGTTAACAATCAACGATAACAACTAAATACTATGTTTTATTGTTAATTTCACAACCAACAACTAAATGTTATTGTTCAAAAAAAGAAAAACAACTAAATCTTATTTGTTTATAGTCGTTGAACCAAGAAGCCAACAACAAATTTATGTGATAAGTTTTAACAACCAATGACAAAAAAATTTGATAGTTAATGATTTAAACATTTAAATGTTTTGAACTAATGACTTGTTGCTGAAATCTGTAGGTATCACAGCGACTGCAAATTAACAAAATTTTATCATAATTATCGTTGTTACTAGAGACTGTGAAACAAACATGATTTAATTATTAGTCACCATTTTTATAGTTAACTGACTACAAAACGAATATGATCATAATTTCATGTTGGTTTCACAAAAAATCATTGGAAAAAATAAGTTCACAATATTATAAAGTACAAAAACTTATGAATTGGACCAACCAAAATAGTTGGTTGAACTAAATTTGTACAAAAAAAATGTTTATGAGATTCTCCTTGCAATGCAGAATTCTGTTGAAGTGAGTATTAATGGATACACTCTATAATTGGCGACAACATCTTTATATGACCAATATCTATAGCCAGTACTGAAAATTCATGACTCCTCATTGATATATATGTTTACGTTCAGTTTAAAATGTATAATTCAAATTCTTCCGATGTGTATTCGTTTGTATTGTAGTATATATTACATAAATGTCTCTCTTTCTTTTCCATAATAACACATCTACATTATATAAACAAGACATGTATAACTGGTTGTACTTTTTTCATTATTGTTTCACCATCCTAGAGCAAATTCGATAGCATACATGTTACTGAGAAGATTCATTATATCTTTGTCTAATAACAACATTTTCGACAACACCACACAAAAAACTAGGAAATTTTGATATTTGTATATCTAAAAATTACGTGTTTAATATTTATAAATTATAAAACTTAAGTTCTTCGTTTTTCATGTTGTTCGAACGTATTATAGACGGATGAATACCCGTTTGCTTCATGTGAAGATCTCTGCAAAGATTTAAAAAAAAAATATTGGAGATTTAATTTATGATATATATGCAGAATATGTGTCTAGGATAGTGTTCATTTTCTCTGTTAGAGCTTTCAGAGAAGTTTATAGTGACGTGAATCATCATGTGATATCATTGAGAGGAATACGGTGAATGTTGTTTCTAAGGGGAAACATGTCAAATTACTACATGTGTTCAAACAAACTTTGGAGTTACGTGGCTTACCTTTTGGAGATCAATGTTTGAAGATTAATCCTCTAACAATTAGTTTGGTAGGTCTTTTCAGCAAAATATTCAATAATGAGAGTTTACATGAGAATCAATAGAAGCATCATCGACAACGTCGATTAAACGATTAGTGAACAAATGATATCTACAAAAAAAGCTAAATTTTGGGGACTAATCTTTTCATCATTTAGTGATTATGTATTTGTATATTTGGATAAATTTTTTTTTTATTTTGTTTTGGTCAAAGTTATTTTAGATTTTTTTAACTTTAATTTGTTATAAATAGCCGTTTAGGTTTAATATTGTATTTATTTTCTAATTTTTATGGATGAAATTCAAAATTCTCTTTTGATATTGATATTTGTTCTGATGATATAACATTTTGAAAATACTATTTTTCAAATATTCGAGATATCAACGTTAGTACTCTTCGTTGTATTAAAATGTGAATTCGAAATATTTATTTTATATATTAATATATACATATACGTGCATATGTGTATTCAGATTTGGCTCTTGAGGTTTTGGAAGATTTTGAGACGAAAGGCATATCGCAACAGCAACTAACTGGTCATGTGCATGATGGCAGAGAGCTGTGATTGATAAGGATAATACAAAAGCAATTAAAACTACCCATTTCTCAAAATTTCATAAAAGTATATATAATACAGATTCAAAAAAAAAATGGAATCGTTTTACTTGGCTCTCTATGTACAGTTCAGTATATGTATATAAAATATGTAAATACATAATAAAAACAAATAAAAAATGAGAAGTAATAATTTATGATATATCATTTACACATGCAATCAAAAGTGAGTGAAAGAAGACTTTAATTAAACATAGAGCATCAAAACTCATTTGCAAACTAGTAATAATGTCTTTTGGATTTTTTTTTCTTTAGTTAAAAGGTTTAATGTGTTTTGAAATTGGTTGTGGTGGGTCAATACATCAATTAATATTTGCAATTGTTCTTATTGATAAAAATATACTTGTATATATAAGTATAATTGCTCAATTTTAAATGGTCTAAGAAATAAGAAAAAGTTGAATTTATATATGGACATACACTTTTTCTAAAGGTGTTTTTTGTTATAGTTTTCAATATTCTTTTAATAATTTTTATTTTAAATAAAATAAAATCATATTTAAAATTGCCATTTACAAAATGATACTGGCTAAAGCAAATGAATACAATCATATACATGCTATTTTATCTAACTTTGATATATTGTAAGTGAGTTCTATAAGTCTAAAGTATATACATATAATATATCTCGAATTAGAATTTAAAATCAAATGAGGACATTATTTTTGGGGTTAATTCCAATAACGGAATCGAATCTATTTTTGACATCGTGATTTCAGACAGAACTTTTTTAACTTTAGTGTTCGGAATAATTATACATATCTATAAAATATAGGTCAATATATAATACATAAGTGTTCAAAAAAAATGTATGTAAGTTGGTCTTTAACAAACAAAAAAAAAACATGTATGCAAGTTGGTGCATGCCGCATGCCTTGTCCTTTTTAATTATAAAATTAACTAACTATTTAGTGATTTCGGATTTTGATTAATATTCTCAAACACATAAGACACTGTACTTTGTCTAATCATAATCTTAAATTGAACTTTCGTCAGCTTATATTATGGAAATGGAATCCATTTATTATGCTTTCATATATTTTTTTAAATACATGATAAAGTTTAATACTACACGTTTAAGCCATAAGGTTTTTGTTTTTATTTTATGTCATGTTTAAAAATTACATAGGAAATTACCAGTAGATTAGATTAGATCTCTAATGTAAACAAGAAGGTTTTTGGTTCTCGTGAACATTAATTAGACCTAACGGTAATTAATTCTTAGTATAAAATTCTTCTGTAACATCGTCAACCTTTGATCAACCACACATGGAGATTTAAGAATCGATATTTAATGATTTATTTGTATACTATTCTTAAAATTTAAATTTAGAAAACAAGAAAAGCTCAAAAGAGAAGAAAGTATAATGGGGATAAAGGTAAAGAAAAAATAACAAGGGTCAAAATGTAAAAAGTGAAAAAGTGTGGGGGGAGAGTGCATGTTGAGGAAGTGATAAGTGTGGGGACCTTTCAAACTTACTGGCTTCACTGATTTTTTTGCTTCTCTTTACTCTTTAGCCCTCACTTTCTTGCTTCTCTCCCTTTGTCTCACTCAGTTTCTATATATATATATATTTTTCCGTAGATAGTTTTTTTTGGTCAACATATATTATGCGGATTTGAATTTGAGAATGACACATCATTATTCATTAACACTTTCCAAACTACTAAACAAGTTTTTGGTCATACTAGAAAATCGTCACCGTTTCAATGTTACAATGAAGAATTTTAAGCAAAAACAAACAAGGGAGAGAAGGGACCTATTACACAAATTCAGGTGGAAACTGATAGATCATATAAGTCAAAGGACCACATTGTAATACAACAGATCTAATAATTTCAATCTGAAGTAGAGAAACGTGAACAGAGAGATTCAGGAGAGGAAGTTGAAAGAAGAGACAAAGAACAATTGAATAAAAACAAAGAGTGGTCCCTCAAGTGATGATGAAACACATATTAACTCTACAAAGTTTGGTAAATGTTTTGAATGAAACCAATGCTTTTAACTTACATTCACTGATTCAAATTCTTTCTTACTAAAACTAAATAAATCATATGATTTTGATACATCATATCAATTAAGGAACCAAGAAGGCTGTACATATTACATTTCGAGGCTTTTTTATTGGGTACGTTTCAGATTGAAAGAAGAGAATTTTCATATGAAATCAGGTTGACCTGTTGATGTCAAGCAACGATGCCACATTCGACTATTGGGATCAACTGATTTTGGATATTCAATTACTTCAGTGATTGGCAAATACGCGTAGTGAGTGTTGATGATGCCTACAGTGATTCCACTGTATCCAGCAAACGCACCATGAACCTGTTTTTATAAGATCAAAAGCTTGAAGATTTGAGCATTTCTAATATTTTCTTGAAAGAGCAATGAGAGAGGAGTGACTTGAAGAAGTGTGTGTGTGTATGTGTGACTTACAGCGTTTTGTCCAAGAACGGTGCAGAGGATACCATCTGAGGCATTTGCACGAACAGCTCGAATCATGTATGTTGGATCAATATATTTCACATCTATTGGGATACTTACTTCTTTGAAATACTTTTTTGTCTACACAAAAACAAGAAAGAAGAAGATAGATTGTAAAAAACATGAAGAAGCAAGAAACTTGTGATGTCTCAATCAATCTTTGCTTATCTATCTAACCTCTTGTTGGATGTGCACACCAAAATCCCCAAGAATTGTGTTTCCAGATGCATCTTTGGCATTAGTTTTCTCGAGTAGATTCTACAACAACATACGTAAAATGAAATTTAACTTCTTCAAAAGAGAACATAAGTGGAGAAAAAAAACTGCTTTATAGTTTTACCTGTCCAGCTCCTTCTGCTACACAGATCACAGCAGAGCCTTTTGTTTCGATTAGGTACTTCAAATGCTTCAGTACACCATTAGGCCCATGAAGATTAAAGGGAACCTTGAATAAAAGAGATGCATAAAATGTCATCAATCATGTCTTTGTAAATTGAAAAAAATAATAACAAAAGTAAAGGAAGAACCTCAGGAATCAAACAGATGTCGACTTGTCCGCTTGCTAGAGAGGCTTGCATCGCAATGAAACCACTGTTACGACCCATCAGTTTTACAATACCCATGCCATGGTAAGCACTATGTGCCTAATACGGAAAATGAATCATACGCAAAGGTTAAGTACTTGAAGCAAATAGACAAATTAGTGAATATCCATAGAAAGCTAAAATACGAGTACATGAAAGTTACCTCAATATAGGCAGAGTTTATAGCTCGTTGTGCTTCTTCAACAGCAGTATCAAACCCAAAAGTTTTATCCATATGCAAAATATCATTGTCAATGGTTTTTGGCACACCAACTACAGCTACCTTCAACTTTCTTTTGCGGCACTAGAAATCGAACGCAAGAGAAGAAAGAGAAACTATCTTTACAAGAACAAAGATTACTATACTCTACTCAAAAAGAAGGAGAAAAAGCAAAGCTATCTTGACAAGAACAACATTTGGTATCAAGTGTTAAGTAAAAACCTCATTGTGTATGGCGTTTGCGCCAGCATGAGTTCCGTTTCCACCCAATACGAAAAGCATGTTGATTCCTCTCTCCTAAGTAAAGTCAATTCTCAGAACTCAGAATCTGTAGTGATCTTAGAGAGTTTCTTAAGGACTTGGAAAACCAAATGATACCTCCATACTGTCAACAATTTCGCTCACACTCGGACCTCCACGTGAAACTCCAAGCAAACTTCCTCCAGATAGATGAATATTTTGAACAACTTTCCTTGATAACTGAAAGATCAAGAGCAAATAATAACTTAAACAGAAGCCAAGAAAGAAAATAGAAGAGTTATTTCCAAAGTTCAAAGAGGACAATCAAACTATACCGGCATTTCGGTAAGATCTTTATCAGAGAAGCCTCGATAACCAAACGGAATCCCAACAATGTTCTTAACACCATATATCTCAAGAGTGATCACAATCTGTAATGTATCCAGTCAACAATCAAAAGACTTTAATAACATAAACAAAAAAATGGTTTCACTCTCTCTCCCTCTCTTTCTCTGTATAATGCTCAAGTTTCAGACACAAACTCACATGTCTGATGACATCATTGAGACCAGGACAAAGACCACCACAAGTGATAATCGCAGCCTTCACTTGTTCCGGTCTAAAGTATATCTTCTCCCTCGGCCCAGCACGGTGAATCCTGATTGATCCCAATCACAATTCATAAGCCAAAAACAAACAAAAAAAACCACAACTCACCAAACTCAATTTTTTTTTTTTACCATTGCTCAACCCAAGAACAGTCAGGATCAATGCACTCTGCTCCAGCAGAAGTTGGTGAAGAGTAACTAATAACCTAATTCCACAAAAAAACCCATACACAAATTCAAATCCAAATGACCAAAAATCAAACCAAACTCACTAATTCCAGTAAAAATCAAACCTTGAGAAGAACTCTATCGTTGTTATTAATGTATCCATGCCATTCTTCATCAGAAGGGTAACCACCAACAAAATCTTCCGTCGGAGACCTAAAATCAAAAAACTTCCTTAGACAAAAGCAGAACTTTTCTTGAGTTAATCAATCAAAAGCAGCAACTTTTCTTGAGTTAATCAATCAAAAGCCGTAACTGACCTCATCTTGAGACAAAACGTAGAACGAATTGCTTCTGCATCTGGAAAGACATCAGTGATGTGAGGGATGCTGAATCTTTGCTCGAAGTCTCTCTCGTACTTTGATTTCCAATTCGGATCGCTGAGATCGATCGATGCCGAGCTTTTGCTATGCTGAATCGATGAAGCTCGGATCAACGAGCTACGAGAAGAAACCGGTGAGGGATTCGCCGGAGATCTCGCTTTCCGGAGGATTAACGAGCTGATGGGTCCATGTGACTGGATTGGAGCAGAGCTCTTCTTGTAAGGAACGGAGACGCCGGAGCTGATCGCCTGAGAAAGAGCTTCCATGGCGACGAAACTGAGGTTCCAAAGATCGGATCTTTGTCTTTTTTCCTAGTCAACTGTGTGTTTTTTTTGGAGGGAATTTGACAATTACAAAAAAAAAAAAAAGAGATCATTTTTTTAGATCATTGCCGTGCGATTCTCGGAGTTTTTTTGTTGACCTTTGAGACTAACGAAGAAGTACGAAACAGATCCAACTTTTGTAAAATTTTGCTGTTGTTTATTTTCCATTTTTTATAGAAAATGTCCATTTAAAAATATTTGATTTTTATTTCACCATTTACTCATTATAGTAGAAAAAAATCATTCCATTTTTGCAGTTTATTGGATATCATCAACTAATTATCAAGGATACGACTTAGTGATGTCGAAGAAACTTTTATCAACAATACTTTTTTCATGACTTCTCTTTTTCCAAACTTGAAATAACGATGGTTTCAAGAAGTCAAAGGAGCTCCGAGTCGTGTACATCTGGACTATTATAATAACAGCATAGGGATAGAGAGGATGAAAATGAATTGCGATTAAGCTGTACTCATAAAATGATTCAAAGATTAAACAAAAAAGACATTGAATTTGATTCAGCTAGTTTCTATAGCAAAAATAGGATCTTTAGAGATTATATTTATGCAAACAATGTTAATCGAGTCTTCTGAAACGATAATAACTAAGCAAAATGAGAGAAAAAAAGTTCAGATCAAAATAATTCAGAGTTTCATCATTAAGAGGCTTTATATGGTCATCAAAAGAATTCACCATCACACTGATCGTAAACCACCGGCTTGCAAAGACTCTTGCAGAGATGTGACGGCGCCTTCGTAGTTTAAGAAACCCATGAACCAGAACTCATGGTTGTCTACAGAGATTACCTGTATGTACTTTTCTGCAGGATTGACTATGCTTGTTGATGGATTCACTGCTTTAAGTTGATGTAATGGTATAACTACCTGTTCAACATAGCAGAAACAAAAAGTGTCGAGTTAATGATCAATGTCGCAAGTTCATTGCACTCATTCAGATGGCTGCGAGGCAACAAGAGACTAAAGCTGATGCTATCGTATTGAGATCCTCGACACAAAAGGTCCATGGATTTATGGCTACGGATGAATAAGACACAATGTAAAGAAGTCAGAACAATTCAAGATTGTTAAAGGGATTATTACTATAAGGCAGCTCCTTAGTTAATGGCATGCTACTAACAAATCACAAGTTCACAACGTGACATTGTCTTAAGCATCTAACAAACAAGACACAAAGTCTAAATTAATAGTCAATGTAGCAAGTATATTGCACTTAATCTAAAGTCCATGGATTTATGACTATAAGACAGCTCCTAGTTGATGTTAGTTACTACAGAACAAATAATAACAAGACATTGTCTTCAGCATTGACTAGATTAACAGCTAAAAGATGTCGCTTTGGTTAGTGATCACAGCTGTAATATGTTGTCTTCAAAATGGTTATAATTCTGAAATGCAAGATGTATGGCATTAGTACCTTGTAATAGCTCCATTCGGTTTGACCACCATTTTTGTATGAAAGAGGATTGTCACTGCAGTAAGCAAGTTTGGCTGTGGATATGTATAGAACTCCCATGACTGGGCCAGCTGATGTAGACAAGTAACATGCAAAAGAATTTAGCAGCTGTTCTTCGGGAACGGTCTCAAAAGTTTGTCGGAAAATCTTCTCATATCCTCCTTCTGCAAGGACCTTCGTACTCTGTGCGATTCTTCCCATAGCAGCTTCAGCAAAACTCGGAGAAGTTCTCACTGATTGAAATAGAAGAATATAAGAGAGAGATCACTCAAATAAATCCTAAGTGAAAACTTGCTAGGGAAACGAACAAGTAAACCACATCCACAATCAAGGAAGACATGAGTTCACACATTAACATTCTAAACGTAACTTAAAATCGTGTAAGTTTTTCCAATCCACCAAATCCAAATTTTCCAGCCAATCCTAGGTGTATGCACGCGTTAGACATTTCCCGTCAAACTCCATTGCTCAAACATTATCCTAACTCATTAAGAACTTCAGTCGATTAGAGTGAAATGACTTTATGTAAATGATTGAAGCAGAAGATTATAAGAGAGATCACTCTTGAATGAAAAATGCTAGCAAAATGAACAAGTAAAGCACATCCAATAAAGGAAGACATGAGTTAGAGTTCACAAATAAACAGTTTACATGTAAACTAAAGCGTTCTAAGTTCCCCAATCCCAAAAATCAGATCTTTTAGCTAGTCATCAGACATTTGCCCTCAATCTCCATTGCTCAATCCCAAAAATCAGATATTTGCTCGATTAAAGTGGTAATTAATACGCCAAAAGGCTTTATCCATTACAAGTAATAGCCATGCCCAATATCGAACTGGTATCTACAAGTTTTAGCTCATTATTCAACAAAGGGTGTTTTTTGGGGGTGGGTTAATGTTCACATTGTAATTCCTGATTCGAAAGAATCAACATTGCGATAATATCTAATCTGGAGCATCTACTATCAAACCTGAGTGCAAATATCAAACAGAGAAGATACAATTCAAACGAGATACGAATTCAAAAACTCACGGTGCTGCCACGTGTTCCCGGCAAGGCTTTCCGTCTTCTTCGCTGCTTCTGCAACCTTCCTTCCCCATCTCCCAAGCGCTCCTTTCACAGACTCCATCGTATCTGATCCAATTGAGACACACAGAGAGAAATCACAAAAGGGTAAAAATCAAAACATTAACACCATTTGCACTATTACCTTTCAACGAAGGATCCGAGGTCTCAGCTGGAGAACGAGCAACATACGGATTAGATCCGGCAGGGGAAGACGAAGCAGCTCTCTGATCCGGTTCCTGAGACCCGGAAACCAATTCGGGGCTCCAATGAACGGATTTCTTCGATCCAGACCCCGTTCGAATCGGCGGTTGCGCTTGCGCCGCCGTTGGATCGCTCCCTTTCGTCTCGATTTCGACCTGAGATAAATTCTCATCGGACAATGCTATCTCGGTGCTCGCGTCCTCGACTCCCTTTGCTCCCTGAACCGTGGCTTTTGGATCGACGGTCATCGTCGGATTTGGATTCTGATCCTTGACCGGAACCCCTGTCTCTGCTTTCGGCTGTTCCATCGTTCAGAAATGGCGGCGCGTACGGCGGCGCGTGAGATTAATCGGTGTGGGTCCGTCTCTGAGACGGAGTTTGAATTTTGGAAGGATGGTATTGTTGGCTTCTTCGCCTTTTTTTTTCTTTTTCTTTCAATGTAAAAAAAAAAATTAAACATTTATATATTTTATTTTCGGAGCTTTGGAATGTGAAATAGAAGAGGACGGGATTACCGGGAAGATAGGTGACGAACCGTAAGAAGTGACTGCCATTTTTAAGCGGCAATGAGAGATTTCTGACCGGCTTAACCGGTGGTATACAGTATTGTAAACAGAAATAAATAAAAAAGTTTGCAAATACGAATATACGATTTCTGACCCTTAGTTATTCAATATTTATTCAAAAATCCAATAAGGCAATAAGCAGTCTCTTGTTAGAAAATGATCCTGAGTTTTAGAACTTAGATCACTTGACAAATTTGTGAAATGCAAGCTGGCTTAGAGGTTTTATAGATTGTGTACATGTATTTTGAATCATGAGTTCTAAGTCGAGTTCTAGATTTAGAAAAGATGAATATTTTTTTCATCATGATCATAATTCATGTTTTTGTTACTCGATTGATTTTCTTAAGATGAATGTAGTTTGTTCAGTTATTGACCAAATTTTTTTGCGAGCAAAAATTGAATGATAAATTGTATAGCAATATCTAATCTCCCAAATATAATATAGAAATGGCTTCACGAAAACTTAACGCTTGGTTTTTAACTAACCTTCTATATGGTTTTACGAAAATGTGATTATTTTATTTTATTTTATTTTATTTTTCTCTCTTAAAATTTTAAACAATTTGTGTGCAAGTTAAAAAAAAAAACCAAAGCTGTAATTGCTCACATCGGACGTTCTTTCGGAATGTTGATGGAAGTAGATTACAATCAAGAAGCTGTAGCACGCAGAGAGTATGCGCGAGTGCGGGTCAACTGGGATATCACACGTCCCCTGCGATTCCAGAGACATTTTCAGTTCTCACAAGGAGTCAACACTCTGCTTCGATTCCGTTACGAGAGATTAAGAGGATTCTGCGAAGTATGTGGGATGCTGACTCACGATTCTGGTAACTGCCTGATTCATAATGGTGGAGGGGTGATTGTTTCGGATGATGATGATGATGATGATGACGACGGTCCTGGAGATGCACCAAGAAGACACCAAGGTGTACAAATCAGAGAACTTGACGAAAACGATCTGCAGGAAAATCAACAAAACCATGATGCACAAGAAGACCAGAATGGGTATGTACCTCTAGTGGAAGAGGTGGATCAAAACCTACAAGGAGAATAAGAAGAACCTGAAGATGATAAGACTTCATGATGGATGGTGATGACCAACCCGACAACCCTCTGGAAGAAACCATGAATTCTGGCGCTACACCAAATGTAAACTCAGGTATCGTTCTCCTTCATGATGACCTTGCTACTGCAGAACAGGGATCAATACTGCATTTCCCTGCATTGGAGGAGGAACACATGGCAAATCATCCTCACAAGAGGAAACTGCACATCATAGAGGATCAGGACTTCAAAAAGGCGAACGTGAGAGAAGCTGGTGAATGCAGTGGTGGAGAATCATCCGCCGCTAACATGACCGTGGGAGGCGCGGTGGGCCCTGAACCACCACTTCCCCCATGAGAGTAGCTGCTTGGAACTGTAGAGGTATTGGCAATGACTCTAGAGTTCGACGCGCAAGGAGATTCATCATCAGTTTCTCCCGGACATCATTTGCCTTTCAGAGACAAAGCAACAAGACAATTACATCAGAGATCTGTGTTGCGATTTGGGGTTTGACAAATATGTATCAGTTCCACCGTGTGGTTTAAGTGGGGGGGGGGGTTAGCTATTTTCTGGAAACTTTCAGTAGATTTAAGTGTTTATTTCCAATCTCCAAATCTTGTAGATTGTTTCATCAAAAGTAATGGAATCAGCTTTTACTTTTCATTTGTATATGGTAATCCTGATCCAAATTTTAGAAACAATCTATGGGAAAGGTTGGAAAGATTGGCAATAAACAGAAGAGATCCTTGGCTTATCACGGGAGATTTCAACGAGCTACTTAGTAATGGAGAGAAACAGGGTAGATGTGTAAGATCAGAAGCATCCTTCAGAGATTTTAGACAAATGGTACGACATTGTGACTTCAGTGATCTGAAAACTGTTGGAAATCGATTCTCTTGGGCTGGTCAAAGAGGACAACATTACATTCTTAGCTGTTTAGACCGAGTTATGGCAAATTCAGAGTGGCACTCAAAGTATCCAGACTCTGAAACACACTTTCTGGATTTTGATGAATCTGATCACACACCATTAATCAGCTTCATAGGAGATCTTCCCCAAAAACGTCGAGGTAAATTCATGTATGACGACCGCTTATCATCGCAAGATGGCTTTGATGAAGCTATTAAAAGAGGGTGGAAGTCTAACTCAAGTGAGGGACTTACTTTATCCCAACGAATAGCTCGGTGTCGACAACAAGTTTCTAGATGGAAACAAAACCATTACAGTAATGCCAAAGAAAGAATATCTCTGTTACGGTACAAGTTAGATAAAGCAATATCCTCTAGGAGATACACGCAACAACAAAGAAGAGATATCAAAAAAGAACTACATCAAGCTTACCTCGATGAAGAGACTTTTTGGAAAAGGAAAAGCCGTATTAAGTGGCTTCAAGAAGGAGATAGAAACACTAAGTTCTATCACTCTGTCACAAAGACAAGAAACATCTGGAACAGACTAAGTTCAATTCAAGATGAAAACTGTAACATCCCTATCCCAGGCTTCCTAAGAAAACCGGAGAAACAGGGCATGTTAGGTTGGCCATCTAACCGCATTCGGTCAGACGCCTGGTTTGGTCCAGTTGGTGAGCCTCAGGTCTGCCAGGATCGAAAACGTCCAGGTAGCAATCAACAACGTAGACTTAAGCTGATCTTTCACCTACACCTGATAAGACAAGGGAAGAGGAGGGGTGAGTAATGGGGATTACTCAGTGAGAAGCAGACCAGGCTCCCTTTCCACTCATTTATTTCCAACCAGCATGTCAAGAATAAATCCAACAAGTAACACACAAGCATCCTAGCGATGCACAAACAACTAGCAAGCAATTGTGATGTCTCCAACCTTGCCAGGTCACACAGACAGGTACTGCCAGCTCACACAGACAGGCTCTACATCACCAGGTCACAAAGACAGGCACCAGGTCACACAGACAGGTTCAACATTGCCAGGTCACACAAACAGGCTTCCAGTCATATAGACTCCGGAAGGATCGGCGTACCTTCCCCCACCGTTGAACTACCGCTTTGGTCACACAGACAGCAATAGCCCAGCAAACAAGTCCATACCTCGGCACATCACCACCGAGATGAACACCTGATCTAGCTACACTACTAATCACTAACCACACATCAGGGTGAACAATCAAATATGTTGGTTCTTCCTCTAATGAGATCCTATATCATTTCATTAGATTTAAACATGGATCTAGCTAGATGCACAAGGAAACAGCCTATGCTCATCAGATCTAGACCTCACACACCAGCAGAAGACAAATGAATAAAAAGAAGACCCTAGATCTAATCCTCACCTTAGCAACAAAGTAGATCTGGACGCCCGACACGAAAACGACGATATCTCCTGGCATAGATCTCCGATCTGGATGAACTCAGTCTCCTTGGAAAGCTAACACTCGGGGCTACAGATTGATAGGTAACTCGTCTCGTGGATCCACACGGTTCGCCGGAAAAACGTCATGGAAAAAGGCGGCGGCGGCTAGGGTTTAAGAGAGAAGAAAGAGGGAGCGAAGCTGATGGGAGAGGAAAGAGCAGCGGCCAAGGGAGAGAGGAAAAGAAAGAGAGAGAGATAGAGGGAGAGAGCCACGGTGAGAGAGAGAAGTAGGATGGCGTGGCTGAGAGAAGGAGAAGAGAGGAGAAGAATGTGACTAGGGTTTTTCAAAAATGGAGAATGAGAGATTAGAGAACTATTTATAATTAGCAGATGGGCTGACTTAATGGGTTGGATTAATGGGCTCGCAGGAGATTAAAAAGAGATTAAAAAGATTAGAATTGAGTTTAATTAGAAATAATAGTTTAATTTAAATAAACCGGGAATTGATTTTTAGTAACAACCGACCCGGCGGGTCGGGGTGTTACAAAAACGGTCTCCTTAGTCGAGGAGATTCAGCTATTGGCAGGATTGCAGAAAATTATTTCAAAGGTCTATTTGCTTCTCAAGGTACTTCTGAATCCAATATTCAAGAAATCTTCTTGAACTTTCCACAACGTGTATCAGAGGTGACCAACACTGAACTCACAAAAGCAGTATCACTGTCGGAAATAAAGGAAGCAGTCTTGTCTATAGGTGCCCACAAAACCCCTGGACCAGATGGTTTCTCTGCGGCTTTTTACCAAAAGTATTGGGAGTATATACACCCGGATCTCCTCAAAGAAGTCACTCAGTTTTTTGATCATGGAGTTTTGGATCACCAACACAATCACACTAATCTGTGTCTTATTCCAAAAGTATCACCACCTTTAGAGATGAAAGACTTTCGACCAATAGCTTTATGTAATGTAAGCTATAAAATCATCTCAAAAATCCTGGTGAATAGACTGAAGCCGCACCTCAATGGTAGAGTTGCAGAGAATCAAGCAGCATTTGTACCGGGTCGAATGATATCAGACAATATTATTGTCGCACATGAGTTATATCATTCTCTCAAGGCAAGAAAGCGGCAATCTAAATCGTATATGGCCTTGAAGACAGACATTACTAAGGCATATGACAGATTAGAATGGAGATTCCTGGAGGAAACAATGAAAAGAATGGGGTTTGATCGGAAGTGGATTCAGTGGATCATGACATGTGTGTCATCTGTCACTTATTCAGTGCAAATAAACGGTACTCCTATGGGCTTCATTCAACCAAAACGAGGTATAAGGCAAGGAGATCCATTAAGTCCATACCTCTTTATACTATGTGCAGAAGTTCTTTCTCATCAGATGTCGAAAGCAATGGAGAACAGGAAGATCCCGGGGCTAAAAATCAGTAACCATAGCCCTGCAGTGAATCATTTACTATTTGCAGATGATTCTCTGTTCTTTACATTGGCTAATCCAAAATCAGGCAGAGCTATTAAAAGAGTCCTCTCGTTGTATGAAGCAACCTCAGGTCAAGCAATAAATACCAATAAATCTGCAATCACATTTGGATCTCGAGTTCATCATAATGTGAAGACACAAATGCGTAGTCTATTGGGTATCAACAATGATGGTGGAGGAGGCAAGTACCTTGGAATTCCAGAGATAGTAGGGAGAAAAAAGGCAGATCTCTTTCAATACATTTTGGAAAAGGTTCAAGCTAAAACACAAGGTTGGGATAAAAAATTTCTATCACATGGAGGTAAGGAGATATTACTAAAATCAGTAGCTATCTCAATGCCAGTTTTCTCGATGAATGTGTTCAAACTTCCCAAAGGAATTTGTGAGGAAATAAATGGTATCTTAGCCAGATTTTGGTGGGGTAAAGGAGGCGAGACAAAAGGAATGCATTGGTTTTCTGGGAACCGACTATGTACTCCAAAAAAAAGAGGGAGGATTAGGCTTCAGGGATTTTGAAAATTTCAATCTAGCTTTACTTGGAAAGCAAGTTTGGAGAATTCTTCAAAATCCTCATTGTTTAATGGCAAGAATCATCAAGGGAAGATACTTTGCTGATAGTAATGTCTTAACTGCGAAGAAAGGGCGGAAGAACTCTTATATATGGAAATCTCTTCTACAAGGTCGTGACCTATTATTGAAGGGGTTAAGATTCAACATCGGAAATGGGAAAACAGTAAGCGCCTGGATTGACCCTTGGCTCCCTACTACTCCACCCAGACCTCCAAGATCTCTGCAGCAATTTCCAGAACATTGTTTTGTCAATGAATAGATCACTAATAATTACCTGTGGGATGAAGAAAGAATTCGAAGCCTGGTTGTTGAAGAAGATGCAAACATCATCCTTTCCATGAGAGTAAATTCTCGTAATACAAAAATTTTTTTGGGATGGCATTACAACAAATCTGGTCTATACACAGTGAAATCGGCTTATTGGGTTGCAACACATTCATCAACTACTACAAGACCACTCGCTCCTCCTGGTGACATCACACTTAAGGCCAAAATATGGAAACTTCAGACAGCTCCTAAACTGAAACATTTCCTTTGGAAAATCCTCTCAAAAGTTGTGGCCATTGGAGAATGTCTTCTAAAGAGACACATCACAAGAAATTCTCAATGTCTGAGATGCCAAAATGGAGAAGAAACCATAGAACATATGTTGTTTGAATGCCAATATGCTCAAATGACGTGGAGAGCATCAGGATACCAAACTCTGTCCATACTAAATCCGGCATTATCTCTTGAAGACAGAATGGAGATATTACTAACGAGGCCAAGTTCAATGCCTCTACACATCCACCAATTCGGCTTTTGGATTCGTTGGAGATTATGGAAGAGCCGTAATGTACTCACCTACCAGAGGAAAACAATTCCATGGAAGCAACTAATACAAGGGGCAAAAGATGATGCAAAGGAATGGCAGGATACTTTTGATTCAGTCTCAAAAAAACAAAATCAACTGCAACAAATAAATATGGCGCCATTGATTCAACAACCGATATGGAAACGTCCCCCACAAGGATGGATTAAATGCAACTATGATTGATCCTATGTCTCAAGCAGAAGAACAAATAATGCAGGTTGGTTATTCAGAGATGAACAAGGCATTTTTCTAGGTGCAGGTCACGCAAAGCACTGGGCTGCAAAAAATGCTCTTGAAAGTGAATTTCAAGCTTTACTATTGCTCTACAAAACAGTTGGTGTAAAGGTTATCGACGAGTAATTTTTTAAGGTGATTCACAATCACTGGTAAATCTTCTTACGGGGAAAACGATCAACTTTGGAGCCTATAATTGGTTATGGGAAATAAAGGAATGGTGCAAGAAATTTGAAGAAGTCAAGTTTCAATGGGTACCACGATCTGCAAACCAACCAGCTGATCTTCTCTCAAAGCAACAAGCTTTTAACATCAACATCTCTTCATTTTTATGCTCTAGTTCCTACATCATATCAAGTGTATTACATTATGACCATGTTTGCTCATCTTAATATATAGACGTTAAAAAAAAAAAAAACCAAAGTTATTTTTGGGCTTAAACAAAATAAGAAAAGTTGTGATCTTAGACCACATCCACCGAAAGTTGGAAAGAAAGGCCTATCAAGGCCTTGTCTAAACTAGTTCAATTAAAATTAATCACAATAATGTTTTGGTCAATTTAAAAAGTATGATAAGGTCAAGGTTGTCAGGAAAAAGAATTTCTAATTATAAAGATAAATTTCTTATGAAGATACAATGCATATAATAAGGTCAAAGCAACAATTTTGTAATCCAAGTGAAATAATTGTTAGGTAGATTCTAAAAAAAATGTAATTAAGGATTTCACACCGTAATACTATTAGCATTAGAAGAATTTGAGAATGCGCGTTAGTTGACCGTTTAGTTGTAAGTTTGTAACAGTAATGTAAACCAATTTCTGTCACTAGAATATTGAGAAGAAAATAATTAAAACTCTATAAGATAAATGATTAAATCTAGTAAAAAAACTTAAATATTATTTTTGTAATGTATTAGTTAAGTTAACATTATTACATGACAGCTTCTGCCAGGCCCTGCTCGTATATACAGTCCAGAATCCAGATAACATACTATAAAAGCATTTTCCAACATAAACGACTATGAATAGTTAACATTAAAAATTAGTTAAGGGTTGAAAAATTATAGATTTAAGATTTTAAATCAACGAGACAACGCATACTATGAATCTGAATGAAAGCAAAGTACCCTTTTTTTACAGATGACATAGAGTTTGATTATTATACTCGTCACGCGTCATGTTCATGAAACATAAGTAAAAATCGTTATACTTTTAAGCTGGCATTATAACGCGGTAAGCAAAAAAAAAAGCAAAGTTTACACAGTCAACGAAACACTAACAACCAATCTAAACATAACAAGTGTAATATTAACTGATCTCTGCCTAATCTCAACTAAGATATATACACGTGGCAGAGCACTGTGCATCCGTTTGGTGCTCCTCCATGTAGACGATTCTTCAAGGAAACTTCAAAATCCCAAACACGGCAAGTCAAGAAAAAAAAACATAAATAAATTAATTTCAAACCGCCATTGTCAAGCTAAGCCATGCTGTATTAATGTATGTAGCTTTGCATGATTAGTGTCACAACAAGTCACAACAATAATAATTAAATTTATTATTAATTAATCCCAACCATCGGGTATATATAGAACCCCTCTTCTCTCATTATTCAACACCATCAAACAAAGAACAAGAGCTTAAAAATCAAAACAGAGTTTCAAGTTTCAGAAAGAAAAGAAACAAAAAAACAGAGAATCAATCTAAAGATGAGTCCTAAGACATTACAAGTTGTGATCTTTCTTGGTTTCTTGGCCACTTCATGTCTCTCTCAAGCTCCGGCGCCGGCACCAACCACCGTTTCTCCACCTACGGTGCTTCCTCCGGTGAAAGCTGAATCACCTTCTCCGGTTGCTTCACCACCGGCTCCAGTTAACGAGCCAACTCCGGCTCCAACCACCGCTCCAACAACTTCTCCAACAACATCTCCGGTTGCTTCTCCTCCTCAAACCGATGCTCCGGCTCCTGGTCCCTCAACAGGATTAACCCCAACTTCGGCTCCGGCTCCGGGACCAGATACCGCCGCTGATGCGCCGGGAAGCGCCGCGTGGGCTAACAAAGCTTTCCTTGTGGGAACAGCTTTTGCCGGAGCATTATACGCTGTCGTTTTGGCTTAGAGAGCTTTTGAGTACGGTGTGGATCGATGCTTTGATCCTCTGCTTTCGATTACTTTTTTATTAATTACTTCTTTAAATTCATATTTGTTATTTTTGTATAATTCTTGTTGTGATGAGGATGAACATAGAGACGATATTATGTTGTACTATCATTTTGTAATATCATTGTTCATAAATTAAAATAATTCTTTAAAATCACTTTAGATCTATGCTTTCAGTAAAAATAAATTTCAGGGAAGATGGATATTTGATAGGTGGGCACTTAAACCGCGACCCAAAACATAGAAACGAATCAAACCGAAAAAGTTACATCGAATCCAAACCAAAATTTATTTATTAATCATTTGGTTTCATTATTTTAGAATCTAGCTAGGTTGTATCTTGTATGGAGTATAACAGGATATGTAGAAATGAAAAGTTTGAAAAATGAAAGTGTATAATAATTTTTGGTTTTAGAAGAAAGCGGGTAACTTTTGGAAACGTATATACATATATACATTTCAAAAATATATATATAAAATATCACACCATATTGAAAAAATTGTTCATACATAACACAAATTCAATACATCAAACTGAAACAACTCAATTAAAAATAATTAAAAATTACATGATTCATAAATCTAAATCACAATTCATTCTCATTTTTCTTTATTCCATCAAAGAAAACGACCTCAAATTTTAGGTTGTTGAAAAAATGATTATCAAATTCAAGTCTTCCAAAATAATTTTAAGTAATTAAATCCATCATTTCTAACATCTCATATATTGAAACAAAAAACCTCTCTTCATCAGCTAACGGAAGCCCATTAGTAATAACTCATTATCTTACTGTGGGCTTTGTTAGATTGTTCTTGTGATCCAATTTAAAAGTGCAACTCGAACCAGTTTGAAGAAGGAATAGATGGAGAAGAATAAAGTTGAACAAGTTTCTTTTTTTTTTGTAATTTATTTATGATTAAGAGGTTCTAAGCCTGTGTCAAAAAATCTTAAATGTTATAAATAGTTTTTTTTTATTTTTTAAGTTATGAAAGCAGTGTTTTATATACAAGTTACATAAGACTAACATACACATCCATCAATATGGGATATATCCACAATAACTTTGTGAAAGCAGGCTTATGTAGGCCCAATACCTCCTCTTCCTCCTTCAAGGTGGCATGTGAAGGTTACGAACACCCAACTTGTCAAAAAACTCCTCAAACTCCTTACGTCCCAAAGCTTTAGTCATGATATCGGCAAGCTGAGAAGTAGTGAAGACATATTTCATGGATATCGTACCTCGAAGAATCTCGTCATGGATGAAATGACTGTCCAGTTCAACATGCTTAGTTCGTGCATGATAAACAGGATTCTTTGTTAGATTAATGGTAAACAAACTATCAGAATGGATGACAGTCGGTTCGGAACAGGTAATATCCAACGCTGGCAGCAACTCCCGAAGTCAAAGAACCTCGCAAACAGTATCAGCCATGGCGCGATACTCTGCTTCTGTCGAAGAACGAGAGACCACATCGTGTTTATGTATTTTCCACAACAAAGGAGAACCACCAAGTTGAATGAACCAACCTGTTAAAGATCGTCGCGTAATTGGACACGCGCCCTAGTTTGAATCACACCAAACAGTGAGCGTCAATTCTGCATATGCGCGAAGAAGTATTCCCTGACCCGGACTACTTTTCAAATAGAAAACTACTAGTAGAGCTGCCTTCCAGTGCGACGGTTTTGGATCATGCATGAATTGGGAGAGAATGTGTATAGAATAGGAAATCTCAGGTCGTGTGACACCAAGATAAATCAACTTTCCAACTAGACGACGATATCGAAACGGCTCAGATATAGACTCTTTCTCAACCAACGCAAGCCTGTGATTCTGTTCCAACGGAAATGAAACTGGTTTAGCACCTAGTAAGCCCGTTTCTGCAATGGTATCAAGGACATATTTTCGCTGACACAAGTAGATACCACTCGGACTACGCACAACTTCGATACCAAGGAAATAACGAAGCAAACCCAAATCTTTCATATGAAAACAGTCGCTCAAATACTCCTTAAATACCATGATTATAGCAAATGTGTTACCCGTAATAATCAGGCCATCAACATAAATAAAGATATGAAGCTGGGGATTCCCATTCGCCAATATGAACAAAGAATGATCAGATCCATTTTGTTCGAACCCATAGTCCTTCAAAGCAGTGGCAAGTTTGGCATTCCAACACCTAGGAGCCTGTTTCAAACCATACAAAGCTTTGTGAAGACGACAAACTTTGTTCTTCTCTGTTGTGCAGAAACCCGGAGGAAACTGCATGTAGACTTCCTCATCTAGATCTCTATGCAAAAACGTTTTATGAACATCCATTTGATGAACTTCTCAATCATTAGATGCAGCTTATTGTAGAAATGTCCGAATAGTAACTATTTTAGCAACAGGTGCAAAAGTTTTGTTATAATCAACACCTTCAGTTTGATTATTTCCGAGAACAACTAAACAAACTTTGTGACGCTCAAGTGTTCCATCAGAGTTGAATTTCAGCTTAAAAACTCACTTGCAACCAAGAGCTTTTTTCCCTGGTGGTAAATCTTCAATGGTCTATGTACCAAGATCTTCGAGAGAAACCATTTTATATATTTTCGACAACAAATCGCTAGCGTTTGTCTTCGATTGCCTCTTTGTAGCTTTTGGGTTCCACAGCAGAGGTAATAGCGAAGATAGATGCCTGATAACCTGCCAAAAACTTAGCACTCAACAAGTAATTGTCAATCGGGTATGGAGTAGCATACGGATATGGCTCATGCAAAAGTATGCTGACAAAATCTGCGAGCTTCGTTGGTCTGGTTTTCCGTCGATGACCTCTACCAAGAAGTATGGGTTCAGATGTACTAAGTGACTCAATTGGAATATCTGTAACTTCCATTGCAGGAGCATTTGCAACTGGAAAACTTTCAATCTCTGGAGTAATCGCAACATCAGAGCTGAAATCACTATCATCACTAACCAACTGAGCTTCTGAAGTATCAGGAGTCGGCTGAGTAGGGATTTCTGGGAGTACAGTAGCAGTCGAACTGTCACATGGAGAAGATGCATCAAGAAGGGATTTCTCCAGATGTGATGTGATTTCAGTGATTCGATCAGAAGAAACATATATCTCACCATCATCATCAAACATTGCAGTGTGTGGATCTGTAATGTCAATTGGTGGTGTAGGAGTGGATGATGGAGAAACAAAGAATGGAAACTCTGTTTCACAAAAGATTACATCCCTAGAAACGACAACGACTCAAGTCTCAAAATTGTAAACTCGCCAACCCTTCTTTCTGAAAGGATATCCAAGAAACACAGATTTATTTTTCCGACTCACAAATTAATCGCCGCCATGCTTTTGGATGTGTACATAACATAAACACCAGAATACTTTGATGTGTTTCATGGGTGTTGGTTTATTATATAACAGTTCAAATGGCGTCTTTCCATTGAGGAGTGATGGCGTACGATTTATCAAGTAACCAGCCGCTAGAGCACAATAACTCCAAAATAAGACAGGAAGATGTGCTTGATATCGAAAAGCACGAGCAACGTTTTACAAATGCATGTGTTTTCGTTTCACTCTGCTGTTTTGCTGTAAAGTTCCCACACAGGAAGTCTCGTGTATAATCCCTTTCTCAGCAAAATAATCACTCAAACAAATGAACTCTGAGCCATTGTCACTGCAAAGTGTTTTGACTTGGCTATTGAATTGGCGTTCAACAAGAGTGATGACATTCTTTAAGTGTTGTGGTGCAGCTTGTTTAGATGGCAATTGGTAAATCCAAACAGCTCGAGTATAGTCATCAAGGATCGTAAGAAAGTACTTAGACCCACAAATCGAAGTTGTCCGATATGGACCCCATAAATCACAATGAATCAACTCAAAACTCATATTCGTTTTCTTATTACTCAAAGGAAATAAACCTCTAGTTTGTTTGGCACGGAGACATACTTCACATGCCTTGAAATCAAAAACACCACTACTTAAATCAGATAAATGCAACATCTCTAAAGTTTTGGAAGAAGGATGTCCTAAGCGACTATGCCACAACTCCAACGATGATGAGTCCAAACGCTGCTCACTTGCTCCAATCAGTGTCCGAGTGTGGCAATCAGAAATCTGAAATATGCAGCCCCTATCTCTAGTCAGTTGAGATACAGAAATCAGATGACAATGCAGCCCATCAACGAAGAAAACGTTATGAAGTTTCAGATTTGATCCCATATAAACATTCCCTTGTTTATTTGGAGTAGTAAATCTTCCATCCGGAAGTTTGATCATAATCAGTGCGATTTAACGTATATCGGAAAGATAATTAATGCTTCCCGTCATCTGATTTGATGCGCCTGTATCAATTATCCAAGATTCAAACAAGAACGTACCCGTAAACGGATTATTGGTGGATGTCTTCCATTCATTCAACTGATAGATCATGGTTTTTATGGTTTTTAACCATGGTATAAGTCTTATTTATAGAGTCTTTTTAGTGTCTTTCAAGTCTTTTGGAGTCTTTTCAGGTCATAGGTACGTTTGAAGCTTAACTGGAGACTTTGGAGCACTTTGGAGCTTAATCAGGATCAAATTCGTCAAGTATGGATTTTGTGCCTTAGTGTCTCTCGACACCATGGAGAGTGACGCTCGACACTTGTCAGGGAAATAAGGAAAATGCGATTTTTGTTTCCTATTTGAAGAAGGAGTTGGGCCCAAACGTTTTCAAGGAAGCCCAAGACGTGTCTTAGATATATATATATGATTTTTATTCCCTTTTTACGATAACCTTAGATTTTTGAGAAAGAGATACTCTGAGTTTTCGGTTTTTGCGATTTTCTGAGCTTGGGAAGACAAGTCTGAACTCTGTTCGTTTAGAGAGAAGATTTCGAACCCCTTTATTTATTTCGTATTGCTTTCTATTCATCATGTTTGTTGTTTCAATAATCATGTCTGAGTAGATCACCTGTTAGGTTTAGGGTTTAATTAGGGTTTTCTTTGAATGTTTGATTAACTTGCTAGTTAGGGTTCATATCTATTTGTTCTTCACCTTAGGTTGTTCTTAAAGCTAATTCTAGACTGATCTCCTAGAACTTAGATCTTTGGTTGCTTAATTGACACGGAAGTGTAATTGAATAACTGGAAAGAACCTAGGTTGAGCAAAGTAACTATTCGCAAAGAAATTTGGTTTAGATACTTTGTGAACATATCGAACTTGTGCATTAAGGCTGGTTTAAATCTGTAGGATTTGCAAAGGAATTTGGGATTCTAGGATTTTAACTTAGATAATTCTCACAACGGAAGCTGGTTAATTATAATTCTGTGTTTCGAGTTCAAGAACTGTGCTTAAACCTGAACCCTGATTAGTTAAGTCTATCTGCATTCATTGATCTCCTGAAAACGCCCTAGACCTAGTCTTTATCCAATCGAACTTACAACCGTTTTTACTGCTGTTTTGCTGTTTAATTTACTTCTGTCGCATTGCTATTTGTTTCGCATACTTCGGCTTAGCGTAACTCCATCTACACAAGGTTTATTGAGTGATCTCTAGTCTCTGTGGTTCGACCCCTAGATACTACAACTGCACATCTGTGCTCTTGCAGAGTAGCTTAGCGATTAAAGTTTGAGCAGATCAAGTTTTGGCGCCGTTACCGGGGACTTGATTTCGCCATTAAACCTAGTTTTTGAGTTTCGACTAAGTTTTTCGACCTAGTGTCGAGCGCGACACCTTTCTTTTTATAACCTAGTTAACTTATTTCGTTTTCTCTCTTTGTTTTTGGTGTTTCAGGTTTATGCATACTCGTGGAACCAGAAGCAACAAGGACATCCCGCTAGTGAATTTGAGCAACGAGGAGCTAGCTGAGTTAGAGCGAACGAATAGGAAAGCAAAGGATCCGACAATGATGGAAAACGCCAATGGACTTGTTCGTGATGATGATGGAATCTGGAGAGACCAAGAGGGTCATGTATGCAATGCGAGAGGCCAAAGGCTTGATGGAGATGGCAACATCATTCCACCAGCATCTTTACCAGTGGATGTTGTTGACCAGAATCCACCACCTGCACCGCGTGGTAATGCTGTGATCGTTCCACATCAGAGAAACGCTCCAGAGGATCGGAATGTGAGGGAACCTGCACTTGCAGCTGGTCATGGACGAATACTTGGAGATTACAACAGGCCTGAGCAGTTCTATGCAAATCGTTCTGCGATTCGCGCCCCTGCGTTTCAAAGAAACGATTTTGAGCTGAAGCCTGAGTACTACACTCTTGTGGGTCAGCATCCTTTCCATGGCCACTCTCATGAGCACCCTATGGATCATATCAAAAGGTTTGAGGACTTGGTCACCAGCATCAAATACAATGGAGTGTCCAATGATTTCCTCCTCTGCAAGTTGTTTCCTTACTCTCTTGCTGGAGAAGCAGCTAACTGGTTGAAGCAGTTGAAGCCAGGATCACTCACTACTTGGGAAGAGACCAGGAATGCTTTCCTGCACAACTTCTTCGATGATGCTAGGTCTGAGGAGTTGAGAACGAAGATTTCGACTTTCTCTCAGGAACCAACTAAAGCGTTCAAAGCTTCTTGGGTGCGATTCAAATCGTACCAGCGAGACTGCCTCCATCATGGCTTCAGCGATGTGCAGCTGTTAGGTATCTTCTTCAGAGGTATTGATTGGAGGTATCAGATGGCACTTGATGCAGCAAGCAATGGAAACTTCAACACCAGATACCCAGAAGAAGCTGTTGAGCTCATCGAAAATTTGGCATCCAGCAATAGCACCAAGAATGCAGCTCTTGAGCGAAAGAAGCAAGCTGGAAACATGGATAGATCGCAGATCGCTGAGGTGAAAGGTAAACTTGACTCTGTGCACAGCCTTTTAGTGGGTAAGAAGTCTGTCAGATTCTCACAGGAGGTGGAGAGTTTCGAACCTGAGGATGAAGCTGAGGTGGAGGATGTCAACTTTGTCAGTGAATCAGGATTTCAGGGTCAGAGGTTTGGTAATCAGCAAGGTAACAGAAGCTACAGTGGGAATTACAATGGAAAAAATCAGAGGAGTACCTTCAACAGTAATCAAAACTTCTCTTGTTACACGCCTAAGCCTCAGTAATCAGAACTTATCTGGTTACACGCCTAAGCCTCAGCCCTTTTCCAACAACAGTTTCTCCAGAAATTACAGCACTCCTTCATCTCAACCTCAAAATCCTGACAATGAGATGAAGTCTATGCTGGAACAAATTCTGGAAGGTCAGCAGAAGCTCATCGTGGACTTTAATGGGAAGATGGATGCTCTCTACCTTGATCTGAATGGAAAAATCGAAGCTCTGAACACTCATGTCAAGCAGCTCGATACCCAGGTTGCTCAAACTGCAGGTTCTGTTAAAAGGCAAGAAGGTTTTCTTCCTGGGAAGACTGACACCAATCCAAGGCATCACTGCAGTGCTATCACGTTGAGGAGTGGTAAAAATCTGAGTTCAGAGCCCAAAAAGACGCCTCCTGCACTTGAAGTCGTGGATTTGGAAAACCCTGAAGAAGTTCCTGAGATTGCAGAGCCGGTGTCGAGCGACACCACCACTAGTGTCGCGCGTCACCAATTGCAGAGCGAAGCTGTTGATGCTCCGAATCCGAAATTTGCAGAGGAGAAGGCTTACAAACCTAAAGTTCCTTACCCAAGGAGCCCTAGGAAGTCCAAGCAAGAGCTTGATGATGCACGATGCAAAGCCCTGATGGAAAAGCTTGTGATTGAGATTCCCTTGGTTGATGCTGTGAAATTCACTCCTGTTATCAGGCGTTATGTGAAGCGAATGGTGACTAATAATCTCAGCCATGAACAAGTAGTGATGATGATTTCTGAGCAAGTCAGTGCAGTGATTCAGAACCGAATTCCGGAGAAGCTGTCTGATCCAGAAAGCTTTGTCTTGGATTTCTCTATCTTCACAGAGAGATTCAAGAGATCGATGTGTGATCTGGGTTCAAGTGTTAACCTCATGCCTTATTCAGTAGCTGTCAATCTCGGTATGACTGACTTCAAGCCGACAAGGATATCTCTCATCCTAGCTGATCGTTTGACAAGGATACCTGAAGGGGTGCTAGAAGATGTTCCAATCAAGGTTGGAGACTGCATGATACCAACTGATTTTGTGGTTCTGGAGTATGGTGAGGAGCCTAAAGATCCTCTTATCCTTGGGAGACCTTTTCTAGCTACAGCAAGCGCTATTATTGAGTCAGGAAAGGCAGGATCGCTCTGAATGTTGGAGATCTGGTGATGAACTTTGACATGGACAAGCTTATGAAGAAGTCCACCATCGATGGTCAGACCTTCTATGTCGACACTCTCACAGAGTTTGCTGAGGAGATTTTCCATGAGATGCTGCCTACAGACCCACTGGATAGAGCTTTGACCACGTCTGCATCTGAAGCTGAACACTTGGACGAAATTTCAGCATCTTACTCGAAGATGTTGGACTCCAGCGAGCATGTGATGCAACTAGCATCGCAGATTGAACAGCTTGAGTCTCCTGCGAAGGTGAAGCAGCTATCCGACTGGAGTGGGGAGAAAGCGCCCAAGATAGAGTTCAAAAAACTCCCTGCAGGACTAAGGTACGCATTCCTAGGCTCTAATTCTACTTATCCAGTCATTATCAACTCTTCCTTGAACAATGCTGAGGTTACCTTACTACTGAGCAAGCTGCGCAAGCATCGCAAAGCTTTTGGCTATTCTCTTGATGATATTTCAGGTGTCTCACCAGACTTGTGCATGCATCGAATTCACCTGGAGGATGAGTCGAAGTCATCGATTGAACACCAGCGCAGTTAAACCCTAACCTGAAAGACGTCGTCAAAAAGGAGATCATGAAACTGCTGGAAGCTGGAATCATCTATCCAATTTCAGATAGTGCTTGGGTCAGTCCTGTGCACGTGGTTCCTAAGAAAGGAGGGGTTACAGTTGTGAAGAATGACAAGGATGAGCTGATTCCGACTCGCACAGTGACTGGACACAGGATATGCATCGATTACAGGAAGCTGAATGCAGCGACCAGGAAAGATCACTTCCCATTGCCCTTTATTGATCAAATGCTGGAGAGACTTGCAAGCCATCCCTACTACTGCTTCCTCGATGGGTACTCAGGATTTTTCCAGATCCCTATCCACCCAGATGATCAGGAGAAGACCACCTTTACATGTCCATACGGCACTTTCGCATATCGCATGATGCCCTTTAGAAAGATCACTTCCCATTGCCCTTTATTGATCAGATGCTGGAGAGACTTGCTTGCCATCCCTACTACTGCTTCCTCGATGGGTACTCAGGATTTTTCCAGATCCCTATCCACCCATATGATCAGGAGAAGACCACCTTTACATGTCCATACGGCACTTTCGCATATCGTAGGATGCCCTTTGGACTTTGTAATGCTCCTGCGACATTTCAGAGATGTATGATGTCCATCTTCACTGACATTATTGAGGATTTCATGGAGGTCTTTATGGATGATTTCTCAGTTTACGGATCATCTTTTAAGGACTGTCTGGATAATCTCTGCAAAGTCCTGGCTCGCTGTGAAGAGAAGTACTTGGTCCTTAACTGGGAAAAGTGTCATTTTATGGTCAGAGATAGGATTGTTCTTGGGCACAAAGTTTCTGCAGCTGGTATCGAAGTGGATCGTGCGAAGATTGACGTCATGACGAGCTTGCCACCACCTGATTCTGCAAAATCGGTTAGAAGCTTTCTGGGTCATGCAGGGTTCTATCGTCGCTTCATCAAAGACTTCAGCAAGATTGCACGTCCTCTTACTGCTCTGCTATGCAAGGATGCTAAGTTTGAGTTTACAGATGAGTGTCTTGCTGCGTTCAAACAGATCAAACATGCTCTGATAAGCGCCCCTATCGTGCAACCTCCTAACTGGAATTTGCCTTTTGAGGTGATGTGTGATGCTAGTGATTTTGCTGTTGGTGCTGTTCTGGGACAGAAGAAGGACAAAAAGCTTCATGCAGTCTACTATGCCAGTCGAACTCTGGATGATGCTCAAAGGAATTATGCTACCACTGAGAAGGAACTGTTGGCTGTGGTCTTTGCTTTTGAGAAATTTCGACCATACCTTGTGGGATCGAAGGTGATTGTGCACACAGATCATTCTGCACTCAAATACTTGATGCAGAAAAAGGATGCAAAGCCGAGATTACTGCGATGGGTGTTACTCCTTCAAGAGTTCGATATTGAGGTCAAGGACAAGAAGGGTGTCGAGAATGGTGTTGCAGATCATCTCTCATGCATCAGGGTTGAAGACGACGTACCCATAGACGATTTCCTGCCAGAGGAGAATGTATACTATGTGGAAACCGATTTCAAGAGCAGGTTTAATGAAGAATTGCAGGTTTTTTGAATTGGAGAAACGTTAGTGTCGAGCGACACCACCACTAGTGTCGCGCGTCACCTTGCTCAGCCGAACACAGAGACCTCTCAACGTCTTTGGTATGCTGATATTGCCAATTATCTCGCTGCAGAGGCTGAGCCTGAGAACTTTAAGGGCTATGCAAAGAAGAAGTTCCTGAGAGAGCTGCGAAGATACCACTGGGATGAGCCATATCTTTACAAGCACTGTTCTGATGGGATTTACAGAAGATGCATTGCAGAGTCAGAAGTTCCAGAGGTGCTGTTTCATTGTCATGGATCCGAATATGCTGGACACTTTGCGACATTCAAAACAGTGTCTAAGGTTTTTCAAGCAGGCTTTTGGTGGCCTACCATGTTTCGCGACGCACATGCTTTCATCTCGCAGTGCGATGCTTGTCAGAGGAGAGGAAAGATCAGCAAAAGACATGAGATGCCACATAATTTCATCCTTGAGGTTGAGGTATTCGATTGCTGGGGCATCGATTTCATGGGTCCTTTTCCCTCTTCTTATGGGAACAAGTACATCCTGGTTGCTGTTGATTATGTTTCAAAGTGGGTCGAAGCCATTGCCAGTCCCACCAACGACTCTTCAGTGGTTCTTAAGATGTTCAAGACCATCATCTTTCCTCGATTTGGAGTGCCTCGAATTGTTATAAGTGATGGTGGTTCTCACTTCATTAACAAGATTTTCGAGAAACTCCTCAGGAAACATGGAGTTCATCATCGAGTTGCAACTCCTTATCACCCTCAGACGAGTGGACAGGTCGAAGTCTCGAATCGTCAGATTAAGGAGATCATGGAGAAGACAGTGGGTAAAACTCGAAAGGATTGGGCTGCAAAGTTGGACAATGCACTCTGGACGTACAGGACAGCGTTCAAAACACCTCTAGGCACCACACCTTTCCACCTGCTCTATGGAAAGCCCTGTCACCTTCCAGTGGAGATCGAACACAAAGCAGCATGGGCGATAAAGCTGATGAATTTCGACATCAAGTCTGCTGCAGAAAAGAGACTGGTACAGCTGAATGAGTTGGACGAAATCAGACACCATGCCTATGAGAATTCGAAGTTGTACAAAGAGAGGACCAAGGCGTATCACGATTCAAAAATCCTCTCCAGGCCATTCGAACCGAATGATCAGGTACTTCTGTATAACTCTCGATTGCAATTGTTTCCTGGTAAACTTCGTTCTCGATGGTCAGGTCCTTTCATAGTCAAAGAGGTTCGCCCCTATGGTGCCATCGTCCTCCTCACACCAGATGGTAGCAGAGAGTTCACAGTCAATGGACAAAGGGTGAAACATTACTGGGCCAAAGCTGAGATTCCGGATGGACATATCGTTCCTCTGGATGGTGCACCTCCTGCCTGAATCACCATCAAGTCAAGCTAATGACTTTAAACAAGCGCTTGATGGAAGGCAATCCACCGGTGAGTCTGTAAATAAGTCTTTTATTTCAGTTGATTTTCGTTTTTCTTTCGTGTCTTAGGTGAAGCAGGGCTGGTGTCGAGCGACAGCACTCTCGGTGTCACCTGTCACTTGACTCTGTGAAAAAAAAAAAAAAAAATTAGGACCTAGCTTAACCGGAGTGGAGTCGGGAGCGGATCGGACACGAGGACATACCACACACACTTTGCAAGTGTCGCGCGTCACCACCCTTGGTGTCGCTCGCCACTCACAAACAAGTAAGTTCCCTTTTTCCCACTTTTATTTAAAAAATCCTCACACCCTTTCTCCCTTCCTCCTCGCCGCACTCGACACTTTCGCCATACCCACCCTCACCAAAACCCTCTGGTGATGACACTGCTACTAGTGATGAGGACTAGTTCCTCCGTCATTCTGGTTCTGTTTTTCTCTTCTCTTTTCTTTTCGTTTGTTTGAGTCTGTTGTGTCAGCTACACTTGTTGTGATACTTTGTTGGATTTATGCTTTTATGGGTTGTCTTGTTACTGCTAACTTCTTTCTAAGTGATCTGACAGTGCTAACCTAGATGATTCTCTGTCCTATTTGGTGGACTCATGTGTCTCTGATCGCGACGATTGCTCTCTGCACTGTGGTATTGCGCGACACCATAATTGGTATCACTCGTCACCACCCTTGCACTTTCGACCTAAGCTTGTTTTCATCTGAACCTGAGCTGTGTGTTGGTCGACCTAACTGAGTAATAAGATATTCTAACCCATTGCATTCATCCTTCTGACTCTCTCTTTTGTCACCAACTTTGGATTTGCTTACACTGGGGACAGTGTTATTCAAGTCTGGGGGAGGTAGTTGCTGACATTGTGTTTGTTTTTATTAAGAGTCAGTTGTGTCAAATTGTTTTTGAGTCAAAACTTGTTGGAGATTATGATGCTTTTCTTGGAATTATTGCGCTGACCTTTCATCTAAGTAACCACTGCTGTTTAATTTACTTCTGTCGCATTGCTATTTGTTTCGCATACTTCGGCTTAGCGTAACTCCATCTACACAAGGTTTATTAAGTGATCTCTAGTCTCTGTGGTTCGACCCCTAAATACTACAACTGCACATCTGTGCTCTTGCAGAGTAGCTTAGGGATTAAACTTTGAGCAGATCATCAACATAGCGACCAATGTGTGCCACTGCTGATCATTGAGTCTACGAAAACCCGATTCGATCTGCAGAAGTGAGAGCAGCATTGTGTGAAATAGAGGCTGAAGGACCCGCATGTGAACCAGGAGCACCAGACACCATGGAAACATTGTTGACTCGAGCAGGCTCAGAATGCTTCCCTCGAGATGGAGAGGGAAACAGACTCGGTGTAGAGGAAGCAGATGCTTCCGCAGTTGACTTAGACCGTGAGCGCTCACCCCACCATGGCGGATAGCCAAATTTGC